CGGTGCCGTGCCGTGGCCCGGGGGCAGCCTCATTTAGCCGGCACAGTGCCAGGCATGTCTTGGTAACCTGATCAGCCCATGCCCCTCGTGGGCAAACACAGGGTGAGGGCAGGCTGCCATCCCTCTGCTCCAGAGGCTCTGGGGGTCTCTGAGGGGGTCCCTGCCATGCTGCAAGGAGCCCATGGGAACTGGTTTCTCCAGCCTTACCTAGCGTGGGGGTTTAGGTAACTGCAGAAGGGAACGTGTGTGCACAGTGCCCGCTCAGCTGGCAATGGCACACTGGGCAGAGGAGCCCCCGAGTGATGTCAGCAGAGTCAGAGCCTGGGCAGAGAGGTCCACACTCCTGTGCCTGCCCTCCACACTGTAGCAATGCAGGGCACAGGGGCTTTGCCCGTCCAGCCCTCTGCAAAAGGGCTACCGGAGCTCTCAGCCAAGGCGGGCAATGCCCTGCACGCTGGGTACCGCCAGGCAGGGCAGGAGCGGAGCTTGCAGCGCTGGGCACACTGCAAGGCGAGGGGAGCTGCAGCGGGGTGCTGGTGATGCCCACCAGCGAGTCCCTCTTCGCCTGCCCCCAGGTAGCCAGCGGGGAAGCGCAGGGGAAGCAGGGTGCTGGCGAACCATTAACTTGGCCCAGCGAGCGCAGGGGCGGGAGCCTCTAAATCTGTCAGCTGCAGCTTTGCAGCTGGAAATTCCCTCCTGGCTTGCCCACAGCGGCACTGGAAGAGGGGAGGCACACGGGGCTCCCGGGAACTCCCGGCCACGTGCCCGCCCATGGGAACACATAGGTGGGTGTGAGCGGGGCTGCTTGGGTGCGGGTGAAGGTACCTGTGCATGCAAGCAGCTCGGCGTGCATGTGTGTGCGTGCACAGGTAACACGTCTATGCATGTTCATGACCATATGTGTGTGTGTGAGCTTGTGTGTACACCCATCACCATGCGTGTGAGCCCCTCATGGGTGTGCAAACAAGTTGGCCCGTGTGTCTTCATGCATGACTATGAATACATGGCAAATTGTCAGCGTGTGTGTGTGCCGGTGACACCGTCCCCGTGTGTGCCTGTGTGTGAGCATGTTTTTTTGCACGTGTCTTACTGCGTTTGTGCAGGCATGTCTGGGACAGGGAGGACATGCGTGGGTGCAGGAGGGCCCTGCAGGAAGGGAGCTGCAGAGATGCAGGGTCTGTGTGCTGGGAAATATGGGGACCCATTTTGTAGGCCGAGCAGGTCCCTTTGAATCAGAAACACTGGAGCAGACCTCAAGCCCTGGGCTGCCCATCAGGGCAGCTCAGTTCAGGCAGGTCCTGTGAAACTTTGAGTCACCCCTGCTCTCCCCTGGAGCCATCCCAGGCTGAGGCCAGTTATACTGGGTGATTCTGAATCTCTCTGTGAGATGTCAGAGTGCATGCGTTGAGCCCAGCAGAGCTCTGTCCCAGCTCTGAACTTCAATAAGCTCCTTCTCTGGAGTCTGCCTCAGTTTCCTCACAATGGGCTGCTTTCATGCTCCTGGCTGCATGGACATGGTTCTGGAGGTCTGGATCATGGATAAACCCTGGGGAAGACAGGTAGTCCTTGTGAGTAGGGGATCTGACCTATGTCCTCTGTGCCATTGCCCCAAATCACAGCTTCTGAAGGCTGGAGACCACAAAAGCCAAAAATGTGGAAGAGGAAGAAGCTGGAAAATGGAGCTAGTGCAGGGGCAAGGGGTTCTCACTTGGAGAGAGGTACATGGCCCTGGAGTGTGCGGTGACTCCTCTGCACCTCCAGGATATCTCCAAGTGCCCTGCCCAACTGTGGAGGAGCGTTAGCTCTTGTGGGGGCTGCAAACTCCCTGCCACCGCTCCCTGCTGGCCCTGAGCTGGCAGAGCCAAATACATTCCCTTGGTAGCCAGGAGAGGCCCTGGCATAGGCAGGTGATGCTGGTAGCCAGGCAGGGTCTGGACCTGGCCCAGTGGTCTGGAGAGGGCTGAACAGCCAGCAGAGCCCCCTAGCAATCTCTCAGCTCCCCAGATCCCTAGCAGTCTCCCCAGCTCCTCAGAACTCCAGGAGCTCCCCAAGAGCTCCC